GGTCTTCAGATGGCTACATCTCATCTGTATGATGTGACCACCTGATGATCCACACCAGCAGTGTCAGGACATAGGAACACATCTTCATAGAGTTAGGGATACCCCAAAACACTATGAGGAGGTGTATAGAGCTCGTGAGGCTTTTTATAGCATAAATCTAGCTCTTTGCTTGAATAAAAACCATCAAAGATTGTCTCAGTGAAGCCTTCTGTTCCTAATGGTAAGCTGTCTGACCTCACACATTAGGGCAGAACACAGGTAGGATCCAGAGATGTCATGCTAGCATCACCTAACCTTTCCAGGGTGGAGGGAGCCTTGGTCTTGCCTCTGCTGCCTGGAGCCCTGTGAGCTGGCCTCCCCCCCGCAACCCCCCAACAGTTTACACAATAGGAACAATGGAAACCAGGAAATACAGGCTCTAAAATAAGTTCTCTAGCATGGCCTGAGGAAGGAAGCAGCCCAGCCACCCCCAGTCCTCCATACTGGTCCTCGCTCTGTCACATCCTTCATCGTGGGCCTGAGCTCATACCAGGCTGGGGGCACTGTGCTTCTGGTCCACTTTCTTCAGCTTCTGGGGTGCTTCAGGTCTCCCAGGACCCATCAACCCAAGGACTGCAGCCTTCTGAGCTCCCCCTGCAGGCCCAGGGGCATCACCTCTTCCCCCTGCCACTGATGCCTTGGTCTTGGAAGGGCTCCTCCTCTTGTGTGATTCACCTCCTTTCATGAGCCTTCACTTGATCACAGCTTTTTTAATTGATAGTGTTTTTAAAGGTAGATTTTTAATTTTAATGTTTTCTTTCATAACTCATTTTCTGGTGATTTAGTGAAGTAATGTTCTTTTGAAAAAATATATCAAATTATTTGTTCAGATATACATGAAAACCAGGCTTTACTGCCCAGTGAAGCAGGTTTAAAACAGAATTTGCTGTCTTGGGCCTGGCTAAGGACCTTTACTCCTGGCTCTGGCTGGGTATGTGTTGGTATCTGTCATTGAGCCTCCAGGGCTTTCCAAGCATCCTGAGCTTACCCTGGACCTAGAACAAAGAATGCTGCCTGAAATCACCTTTCAGATAAAAATATTTGAAAGCTGTGATGAGTTCCTCAGGATGCTTTTGAGTGACAAGTGTGGGAGATAGATTTTGGGTGTTGGCCCCAGCCCTACTGGCCAGACCCACACCATCTTCTTGCACTTCTGGCAGCAGTGCTGGTGGCTCTGCATTCACAGGACCATCTTCTCCCTCCTGCCTTTTTGCCCTGTGGTAGGCTAGCATGGAGACAGTAAGATGGGCCTCTCTCATGGATGTGCCTGGGGACACAGATGTGTGTCCTATAGTCACATAAATAAGCCCTGCCTGTGCACTGTACCTCTGCTGATCATTGAAGTGTACTCCTTCTCAACTCTTTTGCTCTGGTCCTGGCCTCGCATCCCTGTGAAGGGCTTTTCAATCCCTGACGACCTGTCTCCCCTCAAGGTTATGACCAGTGCCCCACCTCTGTTCTGCTTGACATCTTGGCAGTACTAGTGGCCTCTGTCTCCTCCTGGGCCAGTGAGGGAGGATGATCCTCAGGACATGGCCCCCACCTGGGGTGCCCCTCACCATTGTGAAAGTGGCAGGATCTCCTTGCAAGTATGAGGGTGAGCTTGCATGGGACCCATACATCTTTGTTCTTGAGTGCTGGGTATGTGCATGCTGTCTTGCAGACCACTGGAGGGAATGCTGCCACCTACAGGAGTCCAAAGAGGAGGAGGAGGAAGAGGAGGAAGAGGAGGAAGAAGTCAAGGATGGGTTGCAACCAGACATGGCTGATGCTAAAGTGCATGTTTTGTGTTTGTTTAGTGTTATCTCCTTTTTTAAAAAAATGTATTTGGTTGTTACAGTGTTATCTCTTTTTGATATCATCTCCTCTTGTATAAGATCATTTTTAACTTATTGGCAGTAATTATATAAGCAGTTTAGGCTTTTTTTTTGAACCACTTCTTGCATTGGACCCACTGAGCTAGTACCTAGCCCAAAAAGAATTTTTCTTAGGAGGGACGTGAATGGCCCTGAGCTATCTTGGATGGCCTTGGGTTGTCTTGAATGGCCATAGGTGGCATTGGGTGGTCTTTCATGGCCTTGGATAGTCTTAGATGGTGTTGACAGTGACCTTGGGGAGTTGTGGATAATTTGGGTAGTGTTGAGTAGCTTTGGGCAACCTCGGGTGGCTTTGTGCACCTTGAGTTACCTCAGGTGGCCTTTTATAGCCTTTCATGTCCTTGGATAGCTTTGGACAACTTTGAGGAGATTTAGATGTCCATGGGTGGATTGTTTGTAAGCTGGCTGAGGAAATTGTGTGTGAAGTGCTTAGTTTTGTTTGAAGGGATATACTTGGGTGGGTTATAGTCACTTCTGTGAAAAGTTATATGGAGTTGCATGTTGTAAGTTTGGATTCTGGGGTTCACCTGGGCAGTGGGGGCCTGTAAAGTAGTCGGACTAGAGAGGGAAGCTGTAATACACTGTACACATTTCACCAGTGCTCTTGGGATAGGTTAGATCCCAGGAAAGAAGGCAGAACAGTCAGGTTAGTGGTATCAGGGCAGGCAGGCCCTACTGTAGCTCAGAGATACAAGGAATTGGAGGTTCAACAAGGAGAACTTAGACCTGGTGAGGAGAAGACTCTCATTGTAGATAAAACTGGTGCTGCTGTTGCTGTGCTGACCTGTGACTGAGTTGAGGTGCTGAACCAGACATCCTGAGGCAGGGATGTATGAGGAGTGACAGGTACATTTCAGGGACTGGGGCTTTGCTAACCACTCTTGGAAGCACATGGCCGCAGATCTGTTTACTGCCTTCCTCCATCCTCTTGCATGGCTTGCCTAAGGAGCTAGCTCCACCTGCTCCTGCAGGTCTTGAGGTGACTAGCTTGAGGGAGCAGGCTCTGATGACAAGATCAGAAGGTCACCTTCTCCCAGGTAGTAATGGTCTCAGTGAAGCCCAGATTCTCAACACAGCTCTGGAGGCAATGCCCCCTGTCGGGCTCATGTGGTGTGAGGCAGAGGACTTGGCTTTCTTCCTCAGGGGCTCTTGGGTTGCATTTTGATGTCTGACTGTGGTTTTGATACTTGAGGGGGCCTGAGTTTTGCTGTGGCTTTTCGAGGAAGGAGATGGAAGTTTTCTCACACTGCTTCTGACTTGTCCCCATCTACTCCCTCTCAGATGCAGAGGTTCTCAGTTCTCAATTAATTGATTATATTTTAAATGAGTCAGACTGTACAAGCTGGCTCTCGGGAAATATTGAGTTATTATGAGCGTTGTGGAGATGAAAGCCTAACATTGTGTTGTCGTTATGCTCTCTATTAAATGCACTCCATACAGATCTATACTGTGCATCTCATCCTCATGGATGTGTTCCACAGTGCCGCCTGGGTTTCTGAAACAATGCTGGCCCTGGGCCCTGTGGGTTCCATGCTTTTCCTGTCACACACTTGAGTAAAAGTTGACTTTATAAATTAGGCACAGGAAGAGATTAACAACAACTAATAGACTGACAACAACTAATAGAGCAAAGCACTTCCCAGCCTACTGCAAGGACAGTTACGTGACCATGGTCCCTTTTTCTGTCAGTCCCAATGGTACCCTGCTCCCCCTTCTGGGGATGACACAGGAGACACAATGCCTGCATGGTGGGATGCACTGAGGGGAGGACTGCAGTATGGATACGTAATGCTGGCTGCTGTGTGGCAGTCATGAGCACAGCACAGTTTGCTGACAGCTAGGGTGATCTCTAGGTGCCCGGTGGTGGTGGCAGATCCAGGTGGATATATGGACAGAGAAATGACTCAGCTCTTGGCAGGGTAGGGTCAGATGACTGAGATTTCTTTTTCTGATGCTCAATGTGGCATCTAGATGAAAATTTGTTTATTTCTGGACCTTTTCACTAGTATTGTCCGACCTTGGTTGGCCTGGGCTAGCTGAGGCCATGAGAAGGTAAGCCGTGGATAATGGGGACGAAAGTGGGAGTGGATTTCTGAGAATGTGGATAATTCAAGGACTGGCTTTCTTTCTGAAAATACATTGGAGCTGAGGAGACTGGGCCACAGGATGAGGCTTCCCTGCCTGCAGAAGGGTCAGGAGTCTGCTGTGTCTGGCCCAGGATTCCAGACTTAATGAGGGTTTTCTCTGTTGTCCGCCTGTGTCTGAGAATCTAGGCGAAGTCAGCTCTGTGCTTTTTTACCCATGTGGTTGACAGTCCTATTGCCTTGTTCTGGGGAGCAGCGGCTCTGCACGGTCGGGTGCGGGGAGGATATTCTTCTGGGAGATATTGTTTGTGGTTCCCAACTTGGTGAACTTAGGTTCTCAAGTGTTATCGTAGGATTTAAAGCTCTCAGAGGTTCCTGCTTGTTTTTGTTTCTTTTCCACAGGGTGTGAATTCTTCTCTTTTATTGCAACTCAACCTGGAACAGGCTTATTACATTCCACAACAGGTTTTACAAAAGGCCCACTCTGTGCCTGGCTGCAGTGCCTGCTGAGTTTAAAGCCCTTTTTGATTGTGTGCAGTACCCTGTATTCAGTGTGGTAGAGGTGCACACAGTGTTGCACTCTGGACCATTAATCCATGTGTTTTATATGAACACTGGGAGTCCACACAGAGTGTCTCAGTGTGTGCTTGGAAGCTGACTTGCCATATAACCAACTTCAGGGTTCTGACACTCTGCATCTCAGTCATGAGGAAGTTGGGGATTTGTTAAAACAACTCACTATAAAAGTTGAATTTGCTCAGCAACTCTAAAAAGTTTGAGCATATTTCACTTTTATAAACTCATTTGTGCTCAGTGATGTCAATGACACACTGGGGTTGGTGCTGGCGAGATACACAGGAAAACACGTGTGGTTGAAAGCGAAATAGGTGCAAATTACGGGAATGCTAGAATAACAGAATATGACTCAGACATGGGTTTCCTTATTTGAAATTCTAATAAAAAAGACATTTAGGAGCATAAACATCTGTCTCTTTTTCAGGACTTGATATCTTCAGTCATTCAAGCTTGCCCAAGATGGGAGTTCATTTTCTATGAGCCAAGCCTCAGAAGCAGGAAGGTAAGGAAAGATTGGAGTGGGAATTGGCAGGACACATGAAGCTACTGATACGGGGACACAGGGGCGAGCCAGGGCATGGAACATGGGGGCCCAGCTTCGAGAATCATCATGCAGGGCCCTGAATTTGCCCATGGCCATTCTGAGTGAAGCACAAGAGCAGCAGAAGCATAAAGTGTGGGATAGAAAAAGGAGCAAGGTGGCAGTGAATCACAGAGTCCAGAGCCAGTCACGTAGGACCCTGCAGGGGGCACTGTATCTGATGGCTGCCATTTTGGAAGCATGGACCCTGAAGCAGGTTAGAAATAACCTGGATAATAAAAGGATACCTCGGTGTAGCAAAAGTTCAAAATTAGTATGCAAACATCAGTAATAGTTTTCATACATGAAAAAAGCCCATTAAAAAGGTGTTACAGAAGAAAGAACCCCATTAACAATAGCAGCAGTAGAGATTGAGTACTTACGGATGAATGAAATGAGATCTGTTCAAGCCCTGAATGAGAGAAGACACAGAAGTGGCCTTGCCTCAGTTCAAATGTCTCAGTAGTGTTAACATGTCAGTGCTAAGTCGGCTTATAAATTTAATGTGATCCCAGGGAAACATTAAAGACAAGAGCCAGTTTTTTTGGTATATTGGTCATGTTGATTCTAAAATTGAAATCAAAATCCAAACAAGCATGAATACAGAGAAAACTTGGAAAGGAAAGAGTGCAGGAGAGAGAGCAGCCCTGCATACCAGATGTCATAAAATACCACCAACCCCTGACGAAACAGCTGTAGGGCACCAAGTGACTGTGTCAGGTCAACGAGGGGCCACATAATGATGGTGGTCCTGTCCTTGTTTTTGTCAGTAAACTCTCGTGTTCACCATGACAAAAATTACCTAATGCTATGCTTCAGAAGTTCAGGAATCAGCTGAAACTTAGGCAGAAATCTAGTGTGATGACAGTGGTGTCTCAGTTTTCTGGGTCAGAGGTGGGTCATTTGTAATAAATGCTGCTGGCTCACCATGGATTTAGACCTTGCATCACATACCAGAATGAGCTCCAAACAGGGTAGAATGGTGCAGTGAGACATGAGTGAAGAAGAAAGGCTTTTAAATAAACCTAACTCAAAGTTCAGGGTCAGCAGAACTATAGTTGACCACATTAAAAAATACTATAGTAAGACCTTTCCTTTTCTCAAGTCCTGGCTTCATCCACAGACCTACGCTTGTTAAACTGAGCAGTTCTTCCTGTTACCTGTATGCAGTCTCTGTTGGTTATGTGTCTTGTAACACCTATGTCTAGAAAGTGTGTGACACTGGGTAGATGTGGAACTATAGAAGCATAGCATCTGGTCCATCAGCTCTGGCCATGCTGACCCCATGTGGATGACCTATATGGGACCCTGCAGAGCCCAAGGAAGGGAAGGTTCTGGCTCAGGTTCTGCTCTGTTTGCAGGTGAGTGAAAGGCAGCAGGAGTGCTGGTTGGGGAGTGGGCCAGACCCAGTATGTGGGTGCTGGCAACCAATGAGTTGCTCCCATCTACCACATTCCCTATGGCTGTGCTCCCACATGTCTGGAGACACTGCTGGTTTTTCATGAATTCTTATTTATTGTGTCAAAATGTTTTGTTTTGTAAGCTGCTTTCTGGTTACCTGGATTTTTAGCAGTTCTATGGCATTCTCCTTTATGTGTCCACCAGAGATAGCATATGTCCCTGTCTGGTGCTGTGCCTTGGCTCGCACTTTATCAACTGCTCATGCTGGCTCAGGAGAGAGTTAGTGTGATCCACTTCCTGGTGTGAAGCACCTGTGTTGATGAACATGAGTGGCTATGCCCTGTGGCTGCACCTTTTTCCTTCTTGGCCATGTTTGGGGCACCTTTCCATACTCTTAGGTTGTGGTTAGCAGAAAAGATGCCTCACACTGGCTCTAATCAAAACAGAGTGTTTACTCCTGGTATTTCCCTTGCAATGCTGCAGCAAACGATTCTGTGTCTCTGCTCTTCATCCATGATTGGCTGCAGCTACACTGGGAGGAGGTTGCCTTTCTTTCCTGTGTTGCAGATATCATGTGGAAAGCTGGAGGTCGCTGACTGGCTGGTCCCAGGATGAGAGTGTCTGGCACCTACAACCTTGCTCTAAAACTCAGACCTCTTGTTTTTAGCTGTCCCTTTTGCTCTGTGAGCTGGTATGGGACAAAAATAGCTCAAAAGTAGTTGCTCTTACTGCTTTCTCTTACTCTTTGCACATTCAGCCTGAGAAGACATGGGATTATCTTTCCCCTGCATTGTCTCCTTTCCAGATGAGTTGTTGACCCCAAAGGGGTGGCGTGGAGCTGGGACATGTTGGAAACCTGGAAATGTCCTCTGTTCTGGGCTGTAATTGCTGTTTCCTTGTTTCCTGCTAGTTTGGCAAATAGCAACCTCACTGCCAAGAGGCCTTGTGTTGCCAGGTTGCTGCAGGCCTATTGCCTGAAAGGACCAGGTGGTGACAGCCAACAGGGCCAGCAGGGGCTGTTTATTTACTTTTCCCTTCACAGGGGTAGAACTGAATGATTGCTGCTGACAGGCATCCTTTCTTTCCTGGGAGAAGAGGCTCCTTGCAGTGTCTGTTTGGGAAACAGTTGTGATTATGGACACTGCAGCATTACCTTTAGAAGTCCTGGTGCTTGGAATGCCAGGCGTTCTGTGTCCGTCTGATTACTGTTGCTATCAAGGTTCATTTTACCTTGTCTGCATTGCTGAGTGTCACCTATGTTTAAGAGTCATAAATCCTGAAATTATAGGTGCAATCTTGGTAAGGACTAGTCTATGTACCGCCCCCACTTGCTTTTGCTCTCCCCTCCCCCAGGATCCTGGGGTCCCTCCTCTGCCATCATCAGGGAAACTCAGTCCCACCCCATGCTCCTCTGGGGCCCTTCCTGCTTCTTGGGCTCTTTAATCTTTACTTTGTTGGCCTTGGCTGGGAGCAACCTTGTGTTAGATCTGGGGTAGGAAGTGCAGGCCAGTAAGTGCTTGGGCTCACTACATCCTTTAACTAGTACTGGCTAGGGCTTTCTTGCCAGGCAGCTGCCATACATGATCTCAGGCAGTTCTGTGTACCCTTTGCCTAGACTCCTGAGCCTTTGGTGAAAATAGCCTTGTTTCTGAATTTCTTTTACAAGATCTTTCTATGCACCTCACCCTGGGATGCAATTTACTAGTTGCTTTGGCCATGTTGTATAAAGAGACCTCTCTGCTCAAGGCACCTTGGTACAGTGTAGCTGCCTGACAATTCTTGGGTTTATGTACAGGCAATCTCATGACAGTCAGACTGTGGCTGCGACAGTGGTCCCCTGAGAGCGTAGTGTCACCTGGTGCCACAGTGGCACGTGTTGCTCATCTGTGTGCCATGTGCAGGGTAAAAATGCTTGCTGCTATGTACAACCCTGCAGGTTGTGCTGTCTCAGAATAAGATACTGTGCCTGGTCATGACACTGAGCTGTGGCCGTCATAGGTTTTGCTGAACTGTATTTGCATTGTTGTTTTGGAGTCTGTCTGTCTCTCTCTCTCTCTCTCTCTCTCTCTCTCTCTCTCTCTCTCTCTTTGGTACAGGGTCTTGCTATGAAGCTCAGACTCAGTGATCCTCCTATCTCAGCCTTCCCAGTGCTGGGATTATAGGTGTGCACCACCATGCCTGGTTTCAGTGGCCAGCATGGTGTGCCTGGGATTCCAGGGCCAACATTGGCATGTGGTACTAGGGATTGAACCTGGGTCCTTGTGCTTGCCAGGCAGGTGCTTAGACTGCTGAGCTATCTCCTCAGCCCTTCCCTCCTAGTTTGGGAAGGAAGAGTTCTATGGATGTTTGGTTCAACTATCTCTGGCAGTATCTTCTCTTCCATTTTTTTTTTTTTTTTTTTTTTTTTTTTTTGCTGAACCAAGGATTGAACTCAGGCCCGTGCACTTGCCAGGGAAGTACTTATTCCACTGAGCCATCTCCCCGGCCCCTTCTGGCAGTATCTTCTCTTAAGCTTGATTGGTCTCATGCAGTTTTGCCCATTGTGGCCTGAGAAGCAGTGGACTATGTCCCGTGTGCACACCATCCAGCGTGGCCATAGTATGTTACTGAGTCAGTGCACGTGGCCACGTCACCAGTACCCCATCTGTGGATGAACAGCGGAGTTGGCATGGGTCTCTCTCTGCTCCTGCACTGTGGATATCAGCTTTGCTGTGCTGGAAGTGCACTCTTCTTGACCTGTTGAAGCTGCAGTGACACTAGCCTGGTCCTGGACAAGAGCTATAAATTATGTTGGAAGCTCCAATTCCCAAAACACACAGCACACAACCTGCACCTCTTCCTGTTCCTCTTCCAGTCAACGAGGTAATTTGTGCTTATGAGGGCAGTGAACAAATACAGCCTCTAACTGTCAGTTGTCTGAGCTATATTTTTAGAGTTATGTTGATGAGGTTAAAATTATTTGAAGCCTCTTTTTGCATTTATTGTTAGTCTTTGTAGCTTTTTCTATGAGTTTTAATCTAAAAATTTCTCCATACAGAAAGCTATATTTACACCATTATGATGATGTAAATATATTTTACCATGGATCCAAGTATACAGTATCCAGTTTTATACCACAAAGGCCTCACAGGCCAAGGGGAGTGTTCACATGGAAACTCAGAGTCTCGTCAGTTTTCTGTGCTGCTTCTGGCTGCATATGTTGCCATGGTTTCCTAGTCTCATGACATCTGTTTCTGGGCTCTATTTCTGTTTGCTGGAGCAACTCCTTGATAAGTTGCTCTGTGGAGCCTCAGCCCGCAGGCCCTGTGGGTCTCTGCATGGTGTTCAGATAGGTAATTCCTTTTTTCCATGCTTGACTCATGCTGGCTAAGTCTGTAATTCTAGGTTCCGTTCACTTTCCCTTTGAACTGGGAGAATCTTCACTATTACTTCCAGAGTAGATGTTGCAGATGAGAAGTTGGTGTCAGTTTGATCCTTGTAGGTCAGCTTCTTGTCTCCCCACCAATCCTTTCTGTCTGTGA